AGGTTACTATTGGCCTAAAATAACTTATGTACAGTGTAGTTTTTGACTTCCTAGATAGGAGTTTTGATCTCAAAAGTTTATTTATGCTAAAATAACGTCTATTTCCATTCGATATTCTTTCTTTTATTTCCCTATTCATGTTGTTACTGCTGTTTATATTAACACCTAAGTATTTGAAATTATTCACCCTTTCAAAGTTCTTTTTATTATTAAATAATTGTGTGTTTGTAAAGTGTAGTTTATTTCAGGCTGGGACTAGAGGACCCCCCCCCCAAAATTTATGTAAGCCTTGAGGCCCGTGTGCGTAGCACACTGCATACTCGGTTTTGCAGCACTGGTACCTTCCCATTATGGCTTCTGTATACGGCGTTATTCTTTCCAAAAGGAGCGTCGACAATCTTTTATAACAAGTATCCAATAAAGAAATTCCTCTATAATTTGTTGGTTCTAATTTGCCTCTCTTTTTAAATATTAGTCATAGTATTGCCGTGTTTCACTCTCGTGGCATTTCTTTGGTTTCCCAAATTACCTTAATCATTTTCCAAATTTCACTTTTGATCGTTTCTCCTCCATTTTTTAGCAATTCCGCTACTACGTTACTTTTTCCAAGTGATTTGTTGTTCTTAGTTTTCCTATGATGTTATAGATTTTCCGTTCCGTTGGGAGTTCAATACACGTTTTCGCTGTATTATATTGTATATCCATTTTTTTGTGTATTGGTGTTGGTGCTGTTTTATTTAGAAGACATTCAAAATGATTTTTAAATTCTTCTACTACTGCTGATTCCTCTTTTGTTACTAGCTCACCTAATTCATTCCTTAAAATCCTAGTCTGTGGTTTATATCCCCGTTTAATGTTGGCAGTATTGTTGAAGAATCTTCTGGGGTTATTTTTGTTTTCTTCAATTTCTTCAATCTTTCTTTTTTCACATCTTAGTACTTTATTGGTTTCTCTTTTAGTGTTCTTATACCTTTCTGTGTTTATGACACTCGGGTCCTTGATAGCTTTTTCTCGTGCGTGATTTCTCCTCTCTATTGCTTCCTTACATCTATCATTAAACCATTCCTTTCTTTTTTCTTTTTCTTTTATTCCTTAACAATTATTAGCACTATTTACTACTACTGTTCTGATTCTGTTTCATATCCGTTCAACATTTTCACCTTTCTCTATATTTTTGTTGGTCTTTTGTAGTTCTTGCTGTGTTTTACACATGTATTCCTTCAATACATCCCTGTCTGACAGTTTTTCCATACAGTATTTTACAGATTCCTTATTTTTTACCTTTTTCCATCTATCGGATAATCTAATTTTAAGTTTTGTAATTACAAGGTAATGGTCCGAGTCGGCGTCTGCCCCTCTGTAGCTCCTGACATTTTCTATGCACCCTTTATGTTTATTCTGTATCATTACGTGGTCGATCTGGTTTCTAGTTATTCCATTAGGTGCTATCTAAATTTGTTTATGTATGTTCTTCCTTGGGAAGTATGTACTACTAAGGGTAAATCCTTTTGCTAAACACAGGTTAATCAATCTGGTTCCATTATCGTTACTTACGTTGTGTAAGCTATTCGGTCCAATCGTAGGTCTGTACACATCCTCCTTCCCTATTTTTGTATTAAAATCACCTATTAGTATTTTGATACTGCTGTTCGTTGTTTTGTCAAGTATGTTCTCTAAATCATCGTAGAATTCATTTTTAAGATTTTCTTCTTTCTCTTCAGTTGGCGCATATGCGTTAATAATAATAACATCGAAAATGCGACCCGCGATTCAAATATAGTATAACCTGTCACTCACTACCGTGTATTCTTTTACTTGTGGTAATGTATCGTCACTCACTATAAATCCCACACCATTTTCATGTCTTCCATCCTTTCTTCCGCTATAGAATATTGTTTTATCTTATTTTTCATAGTTCCTTCATTTGGTCATCTAATTTCTTGTAACGCTAGTATGTTTGTATTATATTTTTTAATAGCGTCCAGTAAGTACTGTAACGCTCCCGACTTGTTTAAGGTCCTAACATTCCATGTACCCATTTTTAATCCATTTTCCAGTTCCAGTCGTTGTCCATTTATCCAATTACGAGTCTTATTTTTTGGTTTCTTAACAAATTTTTTTTACGATGTTGGGTTGTTAGCCCTTCGATCAACTACCCATACCTTGGGAAGAGAGGATCTCGGGGCCCCGGGTTCGCCATACCCGTAACACTAGGTGTCCCACTGAGAAAACAATTATCTGAGCGCACGGTAGTGCGCCGGCCAAGTTCCAGCAATGCCAGTGTATCTTTACACGAACCAATTCGCCCAGTTTTTCTAACCCATATGAATGTGGGAATGAAAATTCATACCCACCAACTTCGATATCATTCCATTATCTGTACGTAATCTACAATATACACAAATAAATCATATTTTAAAAATAGAAATTTACGAAATAACAATAAATATTCTCATTGCTAAATTCCTAAATGTAATATTATAAATTTCCATTCACTGTAACTTGCATGGCCTTATCATATTGTTCTAAAAATAGCAGTTTAAAATTTTCATTTGTAATATTTTAACCACAACAATGTTTTATCATTATAGTAAAAGGTACTGTTTACAACTATAAACAAAAATCACAAAGGCCAGAGTTTTAATGGACATTATTGAATATTAATATTTTCTAGTTTTTATACCTAGATTTATCATTTAATTTAATCTACAAATACCAAATCGAATGGTAGCACGGGGGCCACCAAAAAATACTTGAACAGGGGCCCACAGGGAAAATCCCTATTTCCCTATAGGCCTATCCGCCCCTGTCTATATCTCTCCCCCGTTCACAATCATTCCGTAGTGAAACAATATTCTTAATATTATACAATCGCAGCAATCGCACCACACTCAACTATCAAATATACCAATACGCTCGTTTAACGTATAAAATACGTAAAATGATTAATTAACGGGCCAGCCTAAACAGGAGTTTGGAAAACGCTTAAATAACAGATGAACTTATAAAATTTCAAGAACTGAAAGAAATAGTTTTTCTAGAATCCACATATAAAATAGTAGACCCTCAAAGTCATTTGAAATATTTACGAAACATGGATATACATACGTCATACATTTCCTAATATTGAAATATTATTACAAATATACTTGACAATTCCGTGTACTAACTGTAAGATTGAAAATGAATTATATTAATTTAAATTCATATAGTAAAATCCTTAAGTATTTTTAATATTTTAATATATAATAATTTTGTTATGTTATTTAATTAGTATTATCTTTTCATCATCCTTAATTTACTAGACTAAGTAACTAAATTATATTTATAGTACATGAAATAATGTACAAATATTTTATGAGTTTTGAGATAGGTATTTAACACTTTTAACATATAACATTTTTTTTTTACTATCAACATTATTATTATTTTTTCTAGAACATTTTTTTGACTTGGAGATCTCTAAAAAAATATTGTGCACTTGACCCTAATTTTATTAAATCAAGCCCAAATTCCAATAGTATTCGGTTTAAAGGTCAAATAATTTAATTTTCAATGGTCACAACTCACAGATAGAGTAATGACGGGTCTATGACTTCTGTCTGAACGTCCACAGTTAACGGAGTAACTGGTTTTATTAATATTATGTCATGATTATTAAAATATGGTTTATTGCCGATTATTGTTATAAATAATAAAAGTAATTATAATAATTATAATTATATTAATAATTATAATTATATTAATAATTAATATTGTTTAAAGCAGGGATGGGAAACTTTGAGTAACCAGTTTTTAGACCTTTGAAACTTAGTGGACACTTAACAAAACTGATTTACGAAACGTGTATCTTACAATGGACAATTTGACGCTGTTTTAATAAAATAAACATAAGCTATGAACATACTATATTAATTATATTATATTAATATACTATAATATATTAATAGATAAATGGTTTTTCAATGTTATCGATTATTTTTTATACATAACCTTTAAACTTTAATGATTAATTTTAAAAAGTAATGTGGGCAAAATCAAAATGTTACAAAGGCCGAGATGCAGCCCGCGCATTGTCATTACCTGGTTTATAGTATTGAGTAGTTAGTAAATCGTGTAATATTTCCACCTCGTCAGCAACCGCAATACATTAAATTACGAGTTTGGCTAGTGCGAAAAAAATATTAGTTTCACTTCGATTTTATTTTGGCATAAACTATTACTTTTACCGTAAATTCTGATAATAGGCAATCCCATAAGTGTTGACGAGCAAAAACTCTTTTCCAATGTCTCATACTTAATTTTACCGACAAAACAAACTACATTTATTGATATATATTATTATGCAAGTGATATGCTCCATGTTTATTTCTGTTTTTTTCATAAAAATTTAAAAAATGTAAGTGTATATTTATTATGAAAGTTTAAAAGTACATTAGACTAAAAATCCTTTGATGTGTTTATAAATTATATAAGTTAAATATACATTTTAAATAGTAATATTCTATTTAAAATTTGAAATGTTTGACAATAAAAAATATATAATTTTATATTATATTACTTTTCATCTCTATGCAAACTTAATTCAATAGAATAATTTTTATAGAATAACATGTTTCCAGTGCGACTTAAAAACTACCAGAAATTTAGATAAAATTATTTGAAACTATGAACTTACCGATTGCTGTTAAAGTACCTACCCTAATAAATGAAAATAATGTAATATGATAACAAGCTTGAAAACCAAAAGATCCAATAATTATGAATTGGTATTCTTTTAAACATAAGTATATTATGTATTAACCAAGTTTAATAAGACATGAACAAATAAGTTTCATACATTTAAACATTGTTGAAATATTTTTAATGTATGAACATAAATTTATAAAAATATATACTTATAGATTGAAAACAACGAAGAATACTAAAAACAAATATTTATAGTAAGCCAATATTTTTTTAATTTTAAATAATACTAAAATTAATGATGTAAAAACAAAATCACTTTTGAATTTATAAATAAATTACAAAACAATAATATTTTATAAATCTTCATGGTTAGTTACATTCCATTTTGCTACTGAATTAATCTCATTATTTTCTGGACCAATTAGAGCTTTAGCAAAATTTGAATTTGAAAAATATAAATTAGCGACATTTAAAATATCATCTATTGTTACATTCATAATTTGGTTCCTATGTTCTTGTTTGATTTGTTGATCCATATCATATATAAATAATCCATTACCTTTAGCCATTGGTGCAACAGGATGATCTATTCCTTGGAAAATGGCTAATTTTGCTTCATTTAGCTCTTCAAGAGTTATTTTCTTTTTATTTACCCAATTACAAGCATTGTCAAAGGCTTGAAATGTTTCAACAGGTTTTGGGTCTCTATAAGAATACATTTGAATGCTACCAGAAGAACTTATAGATGCACCAGAACCATAGGCTCCATTCTTTTCTCTTACTGTTGGTAGTAAGTACTTTGAACTCATATACTTGCAGAGAACTTTAAGTGGAGCAAAATGTTTATGAGTATAATGAACACCAGGAAGAGCTTTAGCACAATAATTAACAGAAAATGGTAGTACATGATGGAAACATTTTACATCATTGTCTGAATTTTCAAATGTATTATATTCTTTTGACAGATTCCAATTACCAGAAGTTGAGTTCAGAAAATTTTCAAGACCATTGATAGCTTTAGAATTATCTTCTGTAATGGTCAATGAACATTTCATAGTATTTTTATTCAATATTTGTTCACTGATTTTTTCTAGTTTCTTTAATATAGGCGATAAATCTTTCATTTGAGCAATTCTTTTCATGGAACTAACATACTGGAGTCCACCATATGATTCACGTTGAGCATCAATTGGATTGATACCAGCTGTTGCACATAACATGGCATACATGTGTCCACTGCCTGAAATACTATTAGCTAAACTACTTGCTTCTTCTTGAATAAGAGTTTTAAATCTATTCTCATTTTCAAATGTTACTTCTGAAAATATTTGTTTCCACAAATCAAACATTTCATTGACATTTTTGTCCAAACAATGAGAATTTAGAATAATGGTTTCTTTCATGTTGTATAAATCTCTAGGAGAATCTATAATACCTTGAGATATGTTTAGACCACCTGTGGATTTTCTCACTAATTGGTCAAACTGTCGAAAGTCCATGGATTTGGTACCCATTCTAGTAACTACATTACAAAATAATGGAATAAGATTCTTAAGATCATGAGAAAAATGTGATGTGTTTAATAAGCTTTTAAAATAAGTCACTTGGTTTGTTGGTTGAGGAAATATAAACACTGGTGTATTATGTATATTTTCTCTTTTGAGTGGTACTGAATCAGTTGTCTTTTTTAAATCATCGAGGCTCAAGGACGGTAAACATGTAATATCTTGTACTGCATCTTGTTGCTGTCGAAGTTCTAACCCTTGTTGATAAATATTGTCTTTGTCTGCATCAGATAAAGAAGCTAATTTTTCTTTTAGTAATTTTTCTTCATTTTTTTTTCTAAGTTCTTCATAGTTGTTTTGTGGTGACATAGTTATTACAAGTTTGTGTTTATTATTTAATAAAAATGTTTCAACTAATGATTCTAAGTAATTAGGTTGATTAATTAATTTTTTCTTAAACTCATCAATTTTTTCACTGACACACATTGAATCTATGATATTACCATCATGATTCCAAATAGGTAAAATACCATATAACAGGTGTAAACCAAAATTTGAGGTTTGATGTCTCATAGAAAGTTCTACTGAATGTAAGATATTATCAATATCCTGCTTATCAAAACCTTCTTTAATTATTGATTTAATTGTATTTTCATAAATTGATTCTACACGTTCAAAATCTGATTCATTAATTCCTTGGAGTCCTACTGCAAAAAAAGTATCTCTTGTTTGATCTGTAAAACCAGTTGCAGAACTAAAATCTGTTCCAATGTTTGGCTCTATAAGAGCTTTGTAAAATTTAGCGTTTGGTCCATTTAATAATAACCTTGAAAGAATAGCTAACTCAAAAGTATCTTGTGTATTAGTAATATCACTCCACAGGGTGCCAATACTTAAAGATGATTGTTTATCTTTAGGTATCATTGGATCTTCTCTGCAAGTAATATGTTTGCGTTTAGGTAATGTCCATCGGCTTTCATTTGGAACCTTGGATTCATTTTTAATAGATAGATCTGCTGAATAATTTTTTAAGACTGTATCGTTTAAAAACTGTAGATGTTTTTCCAAGTTAAAAGTGCCATATGAATAAAAACGACTATTACTAGGATGATAATATCTGTCGTGAAAAGCAACTAGATCAGTATGTGTTAAGGATGGTATAATACTAGGATCGCCACCGGAATTAACACCATATGTATTACTTGGCAATATATTATTCAGAAAATGCTCATTATAAATTTGTTGATTATCTGAATAAACACCTTTCATTTCATTATAGACAACTCCTTTAATTTCTATTGGAGAGTTTCTATCATCAACATTTTTATGTTCCAAACGCCAACCTTCTTGTCGAAAATCAGATTCTCGTAACATCGGATTAAATACAGCATCTAAATACACAGACATTAAATTATAATAATCAGATTGATTTTCTGTACAGAATGGGTAAAATGTATAATCAGGCGCAGTCATGGCATTCATGAAATTAGCCATGGAGCGGTTGAGCATTTTAAAAAATGGGTCACGACATGGAAATTTATGACTTCCACACAATGTGGTATGTTCAAGAATATGAGGTAATCCATTAGAATGCTTTGGAGTGGTACGGAATGCTACACTAAATACATTGTTTGTATCTTTTCTATCAATATGCAAATAATCTGCTGCAGATTTTTGATGTTGAAGATGTAATGCTGTAAGTTGAAAATCACTGATATGTCTGATTTCTTTAACAACAAATCCTTCTATTTCTTGTCCAACTTGGAAACTTGAATTATTACATGTTTTTGTTTGCAATACACTGAGGTTTCGTATACTTGCACGTTGTTTATTAAGTACTTTTGAAAGTCTCAGCATCTTAAATAGTTTTATGCTATTACCCTGAAAAAAATATGTTTTATTGAATATGCATAAATATATCTATTATATTATTTTATATGATTATATATCATTTTATATTAAATATATATAAATGTGATAATGTTTAACAAATGAGTAATGGTAGAAAAAGGTTATCAAATAAGTTTTAGTATAATAATTGGAATATTTTATGATTAGGATTGCCAGATTTGAAATCCCTCAACTGGAACATCATATTCAATATTTCTTTTTTTTATGTAATGTTCATATGGAAACAAAAATAAATATATCGCTTTGTAATTTAAATATTTATTAGCTAATACAAAAATACATTATTATTATATATAACCATGCCGATTAGATAACAATGATTAGTGTACAATATTATTCTATGTTTTATTATTAAATAATACAATATCAAACGTTTTTTTCTTAACTTCTATTAACTGGGTCGAACTGAATAATTGTCTGGGACACTAGGACAGTTCCAATTGAATAAATTGGCAGTCTATTTATGATACACAGTGCTCCAATAACCTGGTGTATTGTGTATGTCAAACACACGTATACAGAGCCACAGCCTATAAGGAGCCCAAAAATAAAAATTGAAAAATATGTAGTAAAAAATAAAATAAAACTATTTTGTTATAATAATTATTTATGGAGATTGAAAAATAATTTATTGATTTTGTTTTGTACACATTGTGCACCAACGTTTATGTTGAATATTGTATAACTGAAATTTAGGTATTTTTAAAGAAGTATAATAAGAAAATTACAACTTAATTATAATTTAATTAATATAAATATTAGTTTCTTTAGATATTTACTCACGTTTTAAAATACACTATTAGTGACAATTATATATAACTTATTCTTTGAGGTAATTCATAAATAACAGTAACTAATGATTCAATATTAAAACATCATACAATTTGTCTGAAAACTTTTAATGTTGGACTAGTTATAATAAACAGTAATTAATGAAAAACAAAATTAATTTTTCGATTGCCGGACTAGGTAACGTTTTATCAAATGTATTATGTTTATTATCTTGGAATATCAGAGTATATATTCTGAGTTATATGGTATGTTACAGGAGCGTTTAAATACAGGAATACACAGCTGATTGTACGCATGTGCTTATATAAAGATAATAAAAATGTATTAATATCTTAAGCGGGAAATTTGAATTTCAAACAATTCAATATCAAACAGGTAATTCTCTGTAATAGATATATTATATATTGTTATCTATTTTTTAAAAACGCTAAAAAAATATAAAATTTGTTCACCAATAAGTTTAGATGACATAATCAGGGAAACTTTATAAATGAAATAATATAAAAAAAAAAAATTCTCTACAAAACACCATGATTATTAAACAAAACCAAATATAGTATCAATACAAATTATAAATTTTCATTATTCCTAGTGAGATCTGAAAAAAATATTAAACTAACTAATTTTTTTTTAGGTAGACGATTAGATCTTGTTTTTTTTAATCTTTATCTACAAAAATAAAATAAACCACTTTTATATTACCTATTTTATAAAAGTAAAATAAATATTGTAAAATAAATATTAGGGAATTAATTAGATAAATTATTATACTTTAAAGTTTATACTATAATATTTTGAGAGATTTGTTCAATGAAAAAATTAATATGTAATTGTATTTTATTAATTTATAATACACGAAAAATAATAGACGACAATCAATAATTGGTAAATTAATATAGTTATATTATAGGTAGACGTGTACTGTGTAGATATATCAGTACATACACTACTAGTGCGTATGTATCTTGTTTAAATACTACACCACGGCTGTAAAGTGACATTGTTGTATAATAATAGCGAATACACATAATTAGCGAAATGTATACATGATGTCAGTGCCGGAGCAAGGTTTTGCGTTTTCTTCAGGGCAAATAAAAAATGTTGGGCCCTCATTCGTATCTTATACATTACATTGCCATTCTAAATTAATTATAGATTTAATTCAAAATTTAATTTTGTCCATCGATTTTTAAACAAACAATTACTGTACAATAGTTAGGTATTATATTATTTGCATAAAAAATAAACTGATTATCTTAATCATTATTATAAAAACTTAAAATACAAATATTATTAATAATTACTTTTACTAAATAAATGTATAATAACTAATATGGAAAATAATAACTTTAATTTATAAAAGAAGTTTAAAAAAAATATGTGTACTGAACAATTTATAATATTTCAAATGCAGAATACATTATTAAAATAAAATATTGTCAATTATGAATTATAATTCTTTAATTTTTGTAGTTTTTTGGATGGAAAGTCACTTATAATATCTTTATAATTTAATTTTTCTGAAAATTCTTTTTCTATACAAATTGTAGCAAGTCCAGTAAGTTTCCTGTCGTGACATGGTACTTCGTAAATATATTTTAATAAGTTTTAATTTAGATTATGTTCTCTCTGCTCTAGCAGACGTAATAGGAATAATTCTAACATAATTCGAAATGCAATATTCAAGTTGGGAAATGTATTAATTTTTTTTATTTCAGATAGTACTTGAAGTGTTGTAGTATTTTTATCGATTAAATGGCAGAAAATTAATATTTCTTCATATAAATCATAACCATTTATATCTTTTTTGTTATTCTCTGACAAACGTATTTCCAAACCTTTGCAAAAATTTAAAATTTCTAAATTAGAGACATGACAAAGTTTCTCAACATCATAAAAAAATCCAAAAACTTTATTAAATGTATTTATTTAATCGAATTGAATTTATTTCTTTTGTAGAAAGAGTATTAGTATTAATACTATATATACATATTAGTATACACATCAAATGCGAATATGTGATAAACCGATAATGAAGATAAAAACGTTGAACATTTTAGTTTTAACAAACATTTTATTTTCAACGTAGCTAACGAAAATAATCTAGTAGAAATTAAGTAAAATTTCTTGTGATACTTGAGTATTTTGGGTAATATGTTGTGAGTATGTTTTGGGTAAATTTTTTTTTTTTTTTTGTTTCATTCAGGTAGGAGCAATATAAATAACGGGGCCCCAAAATCGCGGGGCCCAGGACACGTACCCCATTCGCCCCGACGCTTGCTCCGGCACTGCATGATGTATGCAGGACCGGCGTTAGAAGGAGCATTAATTTGTTCAGGACCTCGCGCAAAACGTGAAATGCCTGGCGAGAGCGATGCCTTGAGAAATCCGTTGGTATATAACAAAACAGATTAACAAAACAATGTTATAATATATTTAATATGTCATGAAAACCTAAAAAGTTTATCTTATCGCATTTCTTAAATGAAGTTAGTCATTACCCGATATGGAGTGCAACTGTCACCGAGTCTGATCACATATTATCTTATTTAATAATGACCTACAGGTCTACAAATGACTATAGTCTATTGGTAAAATAAGTTTTGCTCAGGACCTCGCAAAAGGTAGCGCTGGCCTTGGAGCAAGCGCAGATCCAGTTTACCATAACGAAAGGGACGGATTATACGATTACAATACTATTGTTCTTATCGACTATTTATTAATTTATGTTATAAAAATAAAAGACGAAAATGTGTGATAATAACAATACATTAGAATATTATTACGCTAGATAATGCAATTTAATAGTACATCAAATTAAATTTACACATTTTGATACGGCCAACAGGGGGGGGTCCGCTTATCGACCCCTTCTGGATCCGCGCCTGCCCTGTAGGTAAGGATTATAGAACGAGCCAGCCATTATGAAATGCTGAATAACGGTCGGCCAGACCTATTGATTATCAATTTTAATTTTATTATCTATCTTATTGTTGTTATTATATTAATATAACTTTATTTCATTAATCAATACACTTCAGGAGTAAACTTTTACATATTTGTTAATTTTTTGTCGAATTATTTTTCTATTTATCATGAATTACAAGCAAGAACCGGCCTTAAATTGGCCATCTAATGATCAATCACGAACCCACTTCTTATTTCGAGTATTTTGTATATCAAAAATTAATCGTTCTGCTAATTCTACACACGCAAGGCGAATTATTCGTCTTAAAATGGTACGATGTGATTCGATTGACGACCTTTTACGTCTGGCTATCTCGCTATCTCGTACAACCCCGTGTGTGACAACCTAGCCGCGGCAACTTGAAGTGGCGAGATGTCGCTGCTAGTGGTCTTGGCGAATAAAATCGTCTTGTGAGACTGGGCTTTAATTAATCCCACAACAGCAGCGCTTGCTTAATGATGTTGTCCTTATAGTCACCACCAAAAATCGGTCAGAGAGCTATTTATAGTACTTATAATCAACAGTAGTATAGGTATTTAAAATTTTACAATGAAATAAACAATTCTACAAATACAACATCTCCAATTCCCTAATCAATATATTTTAAAAGTAATTTAGAACAATTACTGTTTGTAATAACAAAAACACAATTTATTTATTTATTTATTTTTTTTGATTATAGAATTATAGTGTTAACCCGAAAATACTTACCTGTAGAAAATTACAAGTACTATTAGTGACATGAATTACCGTCAGCTAACATTTCATACACTCATAATATGATTTATATATACCTATATATATCTTTTCAGGTTCAACTATTATGCATCATTAACTAAACTTCGTATTGTCTGAATTGCTTGCGTATAGCATTCCTATTGTTAACGCTACTAATTAAGTTCATTAACTGAGCTTTATGCACAAATGCGGCTTGCTGTGTGCTATTTAGTTGATCAAAGGGCTTATTAAACTTCATGAAAATTTCATTAAGCGTGGCGTTATACTCTTTCAAAATCGTAATAAGAGCTGTATCATTGACTTTATTTGGTTCAGGAAATAACCAATTCTTACTGACGTATTCAGCAGTAAGCGTTGATACCAAATCAATAGCAACATTTCTAGCTATGTTTCCTGTTATTGATCCAAGCTTCTTAGCATCAGCCATCATATATATCGGCATTTTAAAATCACCGTTGTAGTCATAGTTATGCTTATCTCGTTCGTGATTGTATCCTACTGATGAACCTGGCGGATTATGAACTAGTGTATTGTTATAACTTGGCTGGGAATGTGGGTTTGAATTTACATTCATACCAGTATTTTTAGATCGAGGATAAATTGATCTCTTTGCTCTTGATAAATGTTCATAAGTCAAATTAGTATTATTATTCTCCTGCCGCAACCGTTGCAGATAATCGTCTACATATTTATTATTTATACATTCTCCATCACAATTACAACCAAACATATTACAAGATCCAGTCGAGCAAAAGACATTCCCCTTCTTTTTAATATAACCAGGTGAACACATAGAATAGGAACATAATCCCTTAATCATGTCATTCATTATCTCCATTGACGACGGCATACCAACTTCTCTTCCTTCGTCTGTAGGTTCTAGCAATTTTAATTCTGATACAGATTTAGATTCAAAGTTACATGGTAATGACTGCATATAAGGTAAATGACAACACAATGATGTTATTTCAGAAACAAACAAACATATCACAACAAATGTAGCAAGCTGATATGCATATAATTCCATTATGTTCTATTATTTTTTTCACAAAAATTCTCAAAACAATCGAATCCTTAAATTGAAATAAATTGTGACGCAGTCTTACAGATCAAATCAAATATTTATACTAACCAATACAAGTTACTGGCACTGTTGAACTCTGATGTGAAAATACAGCAACTTATTCCAATGATTTTTTAGTTATTTAAAATACATTTATAATACATTATATATATATATATATATATATTATGTGTATCTAAAGTTTTCAGAGAAATGTTCTTCTAAATTGTGGTAACCAGGAATATCGAATTAATTGACTGTTGTTAATTAAAACTTCTCGTTTGATCCTCGAACGTCCTTATCGTATTTAATTACAGTCACTTCAGTAAAACAACAGAACCTTATATAATATAGTGCCATTAATATATATAAGTATTTAAAACAAAAAATATTTGAATAATTTTTATATTAAAATAATTAATAGGTATTAGTTTTCAATAATTACACAACACTATAGACACTCATATCACAAAGCTCGATAAACTAGTAATTTGTTATTCACGAATATTGTAATTAATATATTTTGTAAGATAAAAAAAATATGTTTACATCCAGTGTCGGCACTATTCGGCCTTATCTACCAGGTATTATGGATACATTTTTACATTCTGAATGTTGGTTTTACCATAGATTAGATAAAATCTAATATAAGGTTTTACCATGATGTGTTTTTTATTCGTATTCCCTAATGTCACGTACAGCAGTGTTTAATAAATTTAGTAGTGAAAATATTTTAAATGGCTTCTCAATGTAAAATGTCAATAAAAAGGAAAAGAAATGTTATTTTATTAATCGTTCAAAAAATTGAAATTTTGGACAAATTAAAAAGTGGTGATACTGAGCGTCACTTGCTAGAACGTACAAATTAAATGAGTCTAATGTTCGAGAAATACGTAAAAATGAAGAAACAATACGATAGATAAGAAATAAATTAGTAGTAGGAATTAAAAAAAATTAAACCTAACCTCCCTTTTTACATTGATTTATGGTCTCGTTATGCGCGCAGGTTTTCTGAAACGTAACCTTCGCGGATAACGAGGAATTAAGGAATTACTGTATATTAAAAAAGATATATCGAAAAATATAAAAAGCGATGATATTTTAAATATCTTTGCTGATACAAATAGATATTTGTCATTAAATTAACATATTAATTATTTTTAAATATACGTTATTTAGTGCTTTTTTAATACAATTTAAACATATCTATATTTTTAATAGTAATAAGTAGGGCTAGGATTTATATGCATTTGCATATTTTTTTCCTTAAGTCCAAACAGATTTGTCCACGATTTTGCTTACTCTCGTTTAAATAAAATCAATTTTTTTTGCATATTTTGAACACAATGCATATAATTGCATATTTATAGATTTTTGAGTTTTTTATTTTTTTTAACTTAAATTTTTAAATTTTTATAAATTATTGTTAATTTTAAATGGCGTTTATTTCATAATACCGATAGTTTTTGGTTTATCCGTCGAATTGTAAATATGTATAAATATATAAATGTATAAATATTACCTATTTAATCTTATCTTGGTCGGACGACCGATAGGATTACCTACACATTATTTAACGACGTAATTTCATGAGTACGACGTGTGTTGCGTAAATGTGCGGACACATATACTTAAAAATTTGAGTGGTTTTAATAACAGTATCAATTAACAATTTTATAAAATGCCGAAAGTTCAAAGTGAAAGTGCCAAGTTACGTCAATTTGTAGAAGAATTTTCAAGTAACGTTTTTAAAACAGATGGTAAAATATTATATTGTATTATTTGTGATCAAGCTGTGCCCGTAAAAAAACGTTTTCAGGTGGTACAGCATTTAAATAGAGGCAAACATAACAAAAATATTAATTTAAAAGCCAAATCTAAACAGTCATTCATTAAAAATACATTAGATAACCAAAATAAACAAGCGAATTTTCCTCTAGATTTATATCAAGCAATGTTAGAATCGGATATACCTTTATGGAAGTTAAATCATCCATCATTTAAAAAATTTTTAGAAAAATATACTGGTAAATATGTTCCTGACCAGTCTGCAATTAGCAAAAACTATGTTTCTGCAATTTATGAAAATACTATAGTATTTTAGAGATATATTTCTCGTATTCGTTCAGAAATTGGTAATGGCCCAATTTGAGTTTCAATAGATGAGATCACGGACGTTGACGGTCGATATGTTTGTAACGTCATAGTTGGTCTCCTCCACGAAGACAATTATTTAAAGCCGTATCTATTAATGTGTGAAGAACTTGAAAAATGTAATTTCCAAACTATTGGCAAAATATTTAATGATGCAATGCATCTATTATGGCCATCAGGAGTGAAGTACAAAGAAGTATTATTTTTTGTTTCTGACGCCGTGCCATATATGGTTAAATCAGCGAATTCCTTGACTATGTTATACCCTAATTTAATTAATTTAACATGTTTAGCACATGGGATTCATAGAATTAGCGAATGTTTACGAAATTAATATTCTACTGTTGATAAATTAATAGCGACAATTAAAAAAGTATTTTTGAAAGCTCCCGGCCGAATTATCAAACTACGTGAACTATTCCCAAATTTACCTTTACCACTTCAACCAATTATCACTAGATGGGGTACATGGTTAAATGCAGTAGAATATTATTCAAATAATTTTGATTCAATAAAATCTGTAATATCACGTTTAGACGACGAAGCAGAATCAATTAAAAAATCAAAAGAAATGTTTGAAGACAAACATTTACAAAATGATTTAGCTTATTTAAAAAGTAATTTTTGTTTTTCTCATCCAAGCTATTACTAACCTAGAAAAAAGTACACTATCTCTTGACGAAGGTTTTAACATTATTTTAAATGTGAACTCTATGGGCCGTAAAATGAATGGAAAAATCTCTTTTTAGTGAGAGATTCTCTTATTCTAGTTTGAACACCAGATGTAGATTTTGATATAATATTTGCATCATCGTAAGATTGTACCACAAAAAGAATATCAGAAATGCAAAGTCTTTTTTAGAACAGAAAGAATTTTACTAAAAATATGTTTGGCTCCTCTCCCACTTGATACATTATAAAATCTAATAAATCATTCATATACATTATAGCTATAGGGTATAATGCATCATATACATAGGGATAGTTTTTCTGTTTTATAAGATCTAAAGATTAAAAAAAAAAAAATTAATGAAAATAAAATGATGTAAAAATTGATTAATATCTCATTCCTAAGTATAATTACTAATTATTCTTCTTGAGTATAACATTGTTTCGGCACACATGTGGAATACATTCTATAGTCTTTAATTTCACTAATAGTAATATTTATTGTCATATTGAACAAACTTTAAGTATTCTATTTTGAAAGATCCAACTTGTATAATACATTTTTCTGCAAAAAAAATCTGAAAACTCTTTATCGTTCTTGGCAAAAAATAAACACTGATTTTAAACATTTCCTGTTGACAAGTAATTTATGATTCACAAACAGTAAATGGTACTAAAATAAAAACTTAATAAACTATATAATAGAAAATATAGAATATTATAGATTCTACATGAATTAGAAACTGTAGATGACTATTCATCATGACGTCTTAGAGCAAGACCCTATTCGGCATAAAAGAGATTTATATTTATTTTTTATTTTTTTTGACCGTTGATAATTGAGTAAATATAGTAGGAGTCGATTTTGAACTGTTATAAATATTATAATTAACAGTCAATGTTAAATGTTGAACAGTTTTTGAATGTTTTAACAAATTTTCATTCCACTAAAAAAAAAAAAAAACAATATAATTAAATGATTAATATACTTTATTTACAAATATTTTATTTTAGTTACAATAGTTATTTTTCATTTATATAAATTAATACTCAAGTAAAAAACATACTTTTCTTCATTTGTTGTATACAGTTTTGATTAAATTGTATGTTTTTAAATTATTTGCATAACGAGTACAAATAGCACAAAAATTTGTATTACAAAATACATTATATTCTAGGCATTCAAATTCACTATAGTATTCAGCATTAAAACTTCTGAGTTCCAAATTTCGTTCTTTCCAAAAAAATTCTTCTATATTTTCTTTGTACAATAAAATAATGTAACACAATGTATTAAAAAAATGTAATGCATTATGTATGAATGCAAACAATGAGTTTATTGATAATAAATAATGTCCATATTAGAAAAACACACAACATTTGAATTGGGTCGTTAACAATACGATATTAAAGATAAGCGTTGAGCGTCCTCGGTATCTTTCCATTCTCGCACACGCTAAAGAAAAATAGAATTATATAAAAATAATTAAATAAAAATGGACATTCAAGTTAGGGTGAATAGAAACCATAATAACTACAACAGACCTTAGTATATCATCAGTTAATGTTTTTTATATAATTAAAATAAATTGTTGTAAATAAAAAACTTTTAAATTTAAATAATATTTTTTTTGGCAGCACACTGCGACGGAATCAATGATGAAGCAGATAATCTATGATCAATTTTATTTGTCATATTCTATTTTCGTTTGTTAAATATTTTCATTCATACAAATTACATTTTTTTTTTTTAATTTCTGTCAAAAGTACGTATAATTATTTTTATTAATAAAAAATAAAATAATAGAATTATAATTTATTTTTCTATAATTCTCAACAAATAATTGATTATTAAAACATTGTAATTATTTTTTCTTTTTACAGTAAACAGCTGAAGTCTAAGAGCTAATCCAGAGTGAAAAGAACTTACGAAAGATAAACACATAAGTTCTTATTTACTCCCTCTATGTTTTTATAGCTACTATTTTTATTTTTTATATTTATTCCAATACCTTTTTTAAAACTTTTAATAATTAAGTATTCTTGGTTATGTAAATAAAATGTTTCCATTACCTAAATACATTTATTCCATTCAATATTATGTACAAAAAATTTTGTAATAAATGTAATTAGTCAAAATGAAAATGTTTAACAAACCCACATAGAATATGACAAATAAAATTGTACATAGAATTATAAGCTTCATCGTTGCTAACCGTTGTGGTTTACCGCCAAAAAAACATTATTTAAATGTAAATGATTTTTATATACGAGTACAACCATTGATTTTATTATAAAATACATTAAACTATGAAATATCAAGATCTGTTAAATTTGCAATATTTTGGATTCATCTTCGTGTATGTTTCTGTTTCAAAAAAATTTATACAGAAATAATTAAACTATAGTCCTTGTTAAAATATTACTATGTACAAATAAAACAACGTATTGTAATTTGAAACACCGATAAAGTATTTAAAATTTACAATTTCATATAGCAATTAAAAATATTTATAAATATTTCTCAATTCCGATAAAAAAGTATGCCAAGAAAGCATTAGTGTCCTGGTTTCACTTCAAGTTATGAAAAGAAACATAAAAATAAATCAATTTATATTTGAATATTTTGAAATAAAATTTGGTTGAATAATTTAAATAAAAATATATTTCATAAATATAAACGCAATTGATTAAGGTTTATTATAATAAGGTAATTTTAATCATATGTTTAAAAGGTTTTAATATATTTCTTGTCAAATAAATAATTTTGATTTTAATAACATTCAATATTTAAAAAGTATATATAAAAAGTATAATAAAATATTTTAGAAAATAATTATTATATATATTAATTATATTAATTAATATATATTTACGATATTTATTGGCATCTAAATTATGTAACTGAAGTCCGGGAAAAAAGAAAGTTTTTTACCCCCAAATTTTACACCCACGATGAGTACTTGTATGAAAAAATGCACCTATAACATCTGTGGACGTTGAACGGTCGTTTAGTACTTACAAAATGATATTAACTGAAAAAAGAACCAACATGATCCCACAAAATATGGAAATGTATTTTGTAATTAATTGTTATGAAAACAAAAAATAATAGTTTTTTTTATATTTAAATATTTTTTTGATTTAATTTGATGTTGAAAGGTTCAACATTTCTATTTTATTATTTGTTTAAACTGTTTTAAAAACATATAATGATATTTTTTTTATATACTTAAATATTTTGTTGATTTAATTTGATGTTGAAAGGTCCAACACTCCTAATTTTGTTATATTTGTTATGTTATAAATTTATTAAATTTGTAGTTGATAAAGTAATATAAATTTATAATGCATATTTGAGCATATTTTTCATTTATTTGTGCATATTAATGCATATTTTGACCCTTTTTCTTTGCATATTTGCATCATATTTGCCACATTTTTAGTGCATATAATTCCGGTCTCTATTTATAATCAATGATATTACATACAATAATTGTGTATCCCATTACAATACGTGTGTACAAATTTAACGCCACCGCCACCGCGGCAGTGTGTGGGGACCTAACCTAACCTAACCTTAAAGGCGCGTTTACACGGTGACAGTACAGTCATGACAGCACTGTCGTATAGTAATGCGACAGCTACTGTCACATGAAGATGAGCGTTTACACGGTGACAATAATTGTCATAACAAATATTGTGTTTCGTGCGATAGCTAATTAAAATTGACTAACAGTGTTACTAGTTTATTTTATTATTCACTTTATTATAATTTATAATTAACTGATTCACTTATTGTTTTAATTTTGCCTATTCTTAAAGTCAGGTATACATTTATCCCATAAACAAGGATGTTCTTCGTAATATTTTAGAAATTGAATAGTATCAAAAACCATTTTGAATTATAATTTCATTTATATAATTTTCAATTAATTATTATAATTAGATATATATTATTATTTAAACATTTAAATTAATTGAATAAAAACTGTAGGTATATGTAATAATAAGTAATAATTGATAACAACACATAGAGTAAAGAATGTAACAACAATACAAAAATCGTACTACGGTAGTAGTTGACAGTGTGGTAGTCACTGTTTACACGATAGAAGTGGTTGTCACACTGTCAGCTAGTTACTGCCTACTATCTAGAAGAGCTAGATAGTTCGACAGCTGGTAGTTGACAGTGTGGCAGCAACTGTCATTATGTTTACACGACGACAGTCTTACGACAGCGACTATCATGACGGCGACTGTCGAGTGCTACTGTCATCGTGTAAACGCGCTTTAATCTTGTACACTACGTACAAAGATAAAAACCAGTTTACAATAATCAAATACAGATCTAGTGAGTTTCTTCTAAAAATAAACGACTGAAGATTATTAATTTCCCACATTGCGCCGTCGCTAATCAACGCGACTACAACGATTATAACGATGCCGACCACAACTAACTTGTGCCCGCAGCGCCACATAACGTTATCGACCAAATAGTACGCCATCGAAAAACCATCCAGTTAGCTATCTATACTATCTATAATCAATGCTATTACGCATAAAAACAGACAACAAATATATCAAACACAACAAAACAGACAAACCAATAAACAAATACCTAGCAAAAACCATAAATGCCGAAGAACAAAAACAGACCTACAACAAAGAGTATATATAATTCCCTAATTCGAAGCTAAAACAGTTGAACAGCTGTTTAACACTAACTAAAATCAACCAAACAAAAAAGAATACCTATAGAACTATTACGCATAAAAACGGACAACAAATATATTCAAAACCGTAAAAAGTACAGTCCATTAAACAAATATCTATCACAAATCATAAAATAAAGCCAAAGAACAAAAACAAATCTACTGTTATGGACATACGTAAATGTAGGTCCTTACAACTACCAATACGTAGGGGGATCACATAAATAGTAGAAATCGGTGAACAATATAGAAAGGAATGATTAAGACTCAAGGGTATAACGAATATGAGCTGTCAGGCTACATTTCAAAGTAATACAATAAATGCAATTAATAAAAGCGCATAACAAAATATGAGAAATGTGCGAATAGTAATATTACCGAGGTCAACCATTTAAATTACAATTTAGCACCTCAGGGTAGTAACAATAATTGGAAATAACAATAATTGGAAATAACTTATTACATAGAAATGCGCGGCTAATTCCCGCGACACCAAAGTATATAAGTGGGTTGGGAATAGACCAATATTCAGATGTGGTATATACATATATTAGCAAGCACCTCCACGCCAGATCATTTTTAATTAATTATTTGTACTTAGAGAATTTTCAAATAAACAGTTTAACTTAGTTGAGTATTTTTATTTGGAATATTCCTAAATCAACACCATCTTTACGGTTGAACTGACGGAACGCAACACTACATATAAAGTAAAAATAAAATCACTTATTATAAGCCAAAATACAATAAGTATTTATGCAAAAAAAAAACAATGAGTCAAAATACACGAGGAAACCATTTTTAAACATTTACTAAATTTTTCTTGCACAAGCTGGCCATTTGAAGTTACTTGTAAATATAGATGGTAACAATAACAATTCTATACCAATTACACTGAAAAAAATATTTGGTAATTTCAGCAAGAATCTTATAACTGCAATCAATTTTTTTGGTTACCTCTGTGACAACAAAACATTACATAGGAGTTACAATGTATGTTATGTTAACTATTTTGATAGTGGTAACTGTAAAATTTTGCTCTAGCTATACATTAAACTGTCTGAAGTCAGTACACTAGGCGAGTTGTTCACAAATCCTTTTGTAATATTTACCAAAAAAATGTTGCTGTAGCTATGCATTTAACTATCAGAAGTCAGTATACAATTGTGAGTTGTTCACAAATCCTTTTGTAATATTTGCCGAACAATTTTGTTATTAAAATACTATTTTTGTTATAAGTACTAATTCTTCTTATACAAATAGAATTTTCTTAGAAAGGCCTACAATATGATGTAGTACTTTTTGCAGTATTGTTTGTAACAATTATACAACCATTTTAGTTGGTTTTACAGAATACTTCTTTTGATTTCAGTGACTCGATCAGAGGGGAGGACAAAGCCCCTAATAACTTTTAAAGCTCACTAAAAATATGAATAGTATACATGTTAGGTATTTAAATGTACAAAATTTTCATAATTTATTATTTCAAATTTTTTATTTTTATTAAACATGATTACATAATTATTACGGTTTAGTAAGGTATATAGATTGTATGTTACAAGACATTTTGAATACCTATACTTTACAACAATGTTATTTTTAAGTATTCACAAGCAAATAAATATTTGATTAATTATTTATTATTACAAACATTTTATAATTCTACAAAGTATATAAAAGCTTATATTTCAATTTTTGAATTTTTATAATATATACATAAACAAATATGATTATAATATGATACAATATGATTGTAAGAATCTGAAGGATGTAAATAAACTTATAGTTACTGCACAAGTGAATAACAATAATATTAAATGGCACTTCTCAATGTAACACATGTAGAGCCATTTGACAGTACACTGGCATTATTAGGAATATGAGAATAGAGCATATGATATATAAGGACTTCATTAATTCTAGGTGTAATTACTTCATATGAACAAAAATTCTCATCAAAATCAATATTTAATTTTAAACATTTAAATACAACTACTGTATTATTATAAAAATATACATCATTTATGATACTAAACTCAGGGAGACTATTTTGGTTTACATCAAGAGTAAGAATCATTTTGATTTGATACTTAGTATCTTTAATAGAAATCCAAGAACAACTAATAAGTGAATCTAAAGAATCTATTACCATAAATCTTTTTATATTTTGGATATCAGTTTCACTAATTAAGTTGTTAGAAGAAACTGATTCAATAGTATTACCTAAATTTCCCTTAATAAACAGATTGTCGAAAAGTAGTTGTTGCCTAATAGCCTAACTCATACAAATATTACGTCGATACTAGAGGAATTGGCTTAGTTAATAATTTAAGTTATTAAATAAAATTAATGTCTAGATCACTGAGCAGAGAATTAACAGAAACGTAATCTGAATTATGAGCAGTTTTTATTTTATAAAAATCTTTTTGAATAAAATTCCATATGGGCAAACTTTCTACCGGATAAAGTAAATTTAAAGCATGAAAAATGTTGAAACAAGTATCTACTGTAGTTACAATTGAGTTTAAAACATAATATGTATCGTTAACAAGAACAAAATATTTAGAAATTTCATTAATACTAGGTCCTACTATTATAATAAGAGGCTGTAAAGTTAAACCTAATCGATTATACTTTTGTTTCCGTCTTATAATTGTCTCAATAAATTCTGAATTTGATTTTGTATGTGTAATAAGCCATCTCTGGATTCAATTTTTGAAGGTCTCCAAGCAGGTATTCCTTTTTTCCTCTTGGTTGTAACAGGAAAGAAGAGTAATAGAAGTATGATAAACGCTGCTACAGATGAAGTTTCTCCGGGTTCTAAAATCAAATTAAATGATTTGAAAATAATTTTAAAAAAATAAGTTAAATCAAAATATATTTAAGTTTAAAAAGAAAAACTACCTATTGCCAGATTTAGATAGTCTTTTATAATACACTTTTAACTAGTATTCTTGAGTGTATTATATATTTTTTGTCTTAATTGAAGAATCTTGTCTTTGTACACAGGGAAATTTTCAAAACAGTTTTCCTTTCTTTCTGTATAGATGGAGTTAAAATCTTCTATAAACTATAATTTTGAAATTCATTAGAAGTCATTGAATTTTATGATATTATTAAGTTATGATACTTACAAAAATATAGCCAGACAGATTTTTTAAAGCTGGAAAACTTTTCATGTAATCAGAAGGTTGAGTAGCACCTTTAGAATTTAAACTGAGTATATCTTTTAAACGTTTAGTTCTAGTGATTTCCAATATTTCTGTATCAAATTCCAAGGGTCACACAAATTATTTAACCATTGTATTTGTTCATCGAAATTTACTATAATTTAAATTATGAAAAAATTCAATTTAATAACAAAATAATGTTTTAAATAAAACAAAGTAGTTAGGTTATTGTGAGTAGAGTTAGGTATGTTAAATATTTAGATATTTTCATTGATGGTTATATTATAAAATTTAACTAAAAATTATTGTTGATTAAGTTTTAACTATATTTGTGTAATATTTTAGATTTTATGTCATATCTGAACCCTACTTGCACCACAATCACAGGCTTTAGTAAGTAGACAAAACATATAATAATACATGTTAATAAAATATTTTGATGGTAAATTAATTAGCTATTTAATAAATAAATAAATACAAACATAATAAGTGTCCTGAAAATAATACTACAAACTTAATTTTAAAAAAGTCTTAAGTAATCATAAGGCATGGATTAGTTATAAACTTACCAATTTCTGATGTAGTCTGATTCAACAAAAGTGAAGCCGAAGAATTTTCAAAATAAGGGGAACGATTGGTCAAAGATTATCTTCTTTTGTTGTTGAAGCAATCAAGAAGTTTCCTTTAGCTGCTTTTTTTATTGACGGGTCTATAGTAAAGGAAATATAATGACAGATTTAATTTAATGTTTAAATTACATGTTAATATGAAATTATTATTTACCATAGTACATGTAGAGTATGAAATATGCACTTAAATGTTCTTTAGGGGAAACTTTTGTTCTCTTGAGATAAAAAAAAGTAATCTTTGAGTTTTAACCGATTTTTCAGAATCTTCTTGAAGCTCTCTTTTGACAGTTAAATTACAAATTTTTCTTCGTCCACTATTGTCCAACAAACCATCAGCATTATAAGTTGCTAATAAAGCCTTTCCTTCAGTAGCGCTTTTCAAGTAATTTAACAAATTACAATCCTAAAAATTGAAAACAAAAATTCCTCTTATAAGTAACCCCGGAAAAAAAAACTAGATACTTAAACCCCGAAAAACAACCAGTGAAAAAATAACCAAATAAAAAACCTATAATAAAAAATTATGAGTAACCCATAATATAATAAATTTGAATTAAAATGTCTAATTCAATATAAAAAAATAAAGGTAATACATACCCAAAATATTTTATTGTAAGTATATATTTTTAAAAAATATTTTTAATCATAACATAATATTTATACCTATTAATAAATAACATTAAAATGAAATATATAAAAGATGATACAATTTGTCTTTAAGATTATTTTTTTTGTAGTATGTACCAAAAAAAACATGATTGAAATCTAAATGATAGTATATTTATTTAATCTTACAATGAAAATTAGATGTGAAATGTTTTAAAAAAATTAACTTTTCTACAACTTCAGATAAATTAATTGATCTTGTAGTATCGGACTGATTAGATCCTTGAGAATGTTGAATATCATCAGATGAATATGAGTTGATTATCAAAAAAACTTGAGATCTCTGAATCTGCTGCTTTCAAAGAAGTGATCGAAACTGGTGATGGAATTTCGATTGTGAAATGGGAATTATTCAAGTCCTTAATAATGATACATTATAATAAAATATATGCCTAGGTAGTTATGATAGATTAGCCAATACCATAAACTGTGGTTGATTATTAACAAGAGTAATAACTTAACGCCATTCTTCTAAGTTAGCTTTAAACTTTGGCCGGGCAAAGACCGGTCTCCAATCATAGGCATAATTTCGCTCAACATATCATCAGTTATAAGCGCAAAGCATGATATATCTATTCCATGTTCTAATAATTATTAATTAGGTAAAAATTATTATACATTAACCAGTGGCGTAGACATGATTTCTGAAAGGGGGATCAAAAAAAGAAAACGACATAGCTAAATGGGAGGGAAAAATTGAAAAAATCTTCCACCCTCTCAAATTTTTTTTACAATTTTATAATTTTTTAAAAAAAATTAGATAGTAAAATATTTAACAATAAGAACAATAACCATATTTGAATAAATTCAAAATTCACATCCAACACAATGTTATGGAAAATTATCCACTTCAATACTCCATGAAGTCAAAACTTCTTTATTATAAAATGCTATACGAAATAATATAATATAAAATATATTAACATAATAAATAATGATCAAATCAACAAATCTAACTTTCTTTTTTTTTTTAGCTAATTCGTTTAAAACTTCTTCTGCTAAAATAGAAATATTTTTATAGACTGCCATAGGCGTTAGGCCATTTAGCCGTTCCTGCAACAAATTAATTTATTAATAAAGTGTATTTCATTTATTACAAAATATATTTTACTTCTTTCATTGTATTTCTTGTGTAAGTCTTTAATCTTTTTAAACAAGAGACATCCTTTCTGGAGTAGCGGTTGAAACCGGTAAAGTACACAATATGCTCAATAAATTAAAAATATTAGGATATATTATGTTATTACATTTTTTAATTACATCTAGTTCTGATTTAGGTTTGTTTTCAATTCTTTGTAGTTTGATTTTCCACATTTACAACTCAACTCTCACAGTATTTAAATCAGATTCTAGAAGATAAAATTTGACAAGATCATCAAATTCATCTGGCACATTACCAGATTCATAATCAAATAAACATTGAAAACCTATAACATTAATTTAAAATATTTTATAAGTTTAATATACCACTCACACAATATTTGTATTAGGTAGGTATATATTATTTGTTGATATTTAACTAACCACAAAAAACATTTCTATGATCTAAAAACCTGTCATTCAATTGGTTTATAAAACTATCAATGAATGTAATGCATATACTGATTCGATAATAGGCCTCAGGATCTAAAAGGCCATTTTCATTTATTAATGGATTATTTTTGTGTTTTTGCCTTTTATTCAATCGATCAACAGTAATGGTTATATCCAAAATATCTACCATACTCTAATAAAATGTAAAACCAAAAAATGTAATGACTTATTGAATGAAAGATAAAAAGAATTAAAATTAAATTTTATAAGATAGTTACTTTGGCATTTTCAAACATCCTATGAAATTCAATATCTATATTTTCTCTTAGATGTTTTGGAGCTTTCACATTGTCATCAGTTAACTCAACCGCTTCTCTTAAATCTATTTCTATTTTTTGAAGTTGTTTAGATAATGGTAAACTATAAGAAAATAGAACCTTTAACAAAAAATAATTGATAAAATATAAACGACTAATTATGTGAATGGTACAAAATAATATTTATTATAAAATTCATAAAATTATTTGCTAAATGCTAGATAAAATACAAATAAAATTAAAAATAAAGAATTACTTTTAGGATTTGTAGAGATATTAAAAATTTGGAATCCATTGACTTCAATAAAATATTATTATGTACTGAAGATAAATCATTCCACTCTAATATTTTTTCAAGTGAAACTACTACATATGGAAAAAATTCAACAAAATCATTAATTGCATCATATCGTTGGATCTATCTTGTTGCACATAGGCGCTTCAATGTCTTAACTTTTGAATCTAAGTCACTTTCACTTATTGCTGTTACAATCACTTGATGACGCTTTGGGGAATTACAAAAACAATACATTTTTTGAATAGTTCCTAAGCCATTTTGTACAGGTTGAATATTGCAAGCAGATGACACAGCTAAACTCAATGTATGGGCAACACAATGCACATATAAAGCTTTTGGGTACTTATTTCTTATTATTGTTTGAACGCCTTTTATGTGCCCTGACATATTTGATGCACCATCATACCCTTGTCCACAAATATTGTCACAATTAATACCACATGAATTCAAGTCTTAAACAAAGTTAATACACAATTTAATAAATAACTGATACCCAAGCGATACAATTTGTAAAATCATGTCTATTTTTATGTAACATATTAATTACCATTTAAAATTGCTGAAGCTAAGTTATCACCCATTAAACTTGTAACTTCTGTAAATTTTAAAAAAACTTTCATAAACATTTTTTTCTTTCCCAGTACCAACAAGATATCTAACACAAATAGTAAGTTGTTCTACAACAGAAATATTTATTGTCTTATCTGCAAGAACACTAAAATAATATGACTCGATAACTTCTTTTACAACTTTTTTTTAAAATTATATCACCACAAGTGGTTATAATTTCATTTTGAATAGTTGGGCTAGTATATTTATTTCAATAGCTTGATGAAAGAAAGTTTTTTAAATGTTCTATGTCTTTTGCTTTATATTTCAGTATAGCTCGAAAGTTTCCTCCATTCATATCAGGTTCACTTAGAAAAATAATGACAAAGAAAGGCCCAATAAGTTCAGGTTTGGGTTATGGCTCCTATTAAAAATAATTATTCCTTAACTAAAATAAAAATGTATCCAAAATATATAGTAGATAAGACATATTAGAGCTAATAGTATTATAGTATTTTAATATAGTTTAAAAAAAACTTACCATCAAATGACAAAGTACCAAAGTCCCTACGACCCCTTAAAGCAATCTCTTGACGACCACATACCAAAATACAATTAATAATAGGAATTAAATTCTCTCGGTTTTCTTTAACTTTTTTTGCTCTGGAATTATATAAATTTAAGTTCATTTATGATCAATAATATTTTAAAACTAAACATAAAATAAATTTTTAATAAAAAAATAATACAACTTTATAATAAAAATAGAATATTAAAAAATATTTAAATCTACCTGTCTATGTTTAATTTGTTTATAATCTCTGGTTCCTTTGAAGATGCAATATTCAAAAAATAATCAGATTTTTCTAGAGCTAGTTTATGGTATTGATGTTCAGCATCATTATTTAAAGTCTAATATAATAAATAAAACATACATATTAAATATTTATAATAATATTAAAAAATTTTAAATGTGTGATCATAACTTTATAGACATACTTCTAATGCTTTTTTAAAGCTATCTATTGGTTTAATCACAAGTGTATATAATTTTTGACATCCAAATCCACCAGTTCTTGAAAAAATCAAACATACTTTACAAAAACCTCCTTGTCTTATCTCTGAATATGCTAACCACTTGAATATTTTCAACCAATGGTGTTGAAAGTTGAGATTCTTACCTTTATTTTTCTCTATTATAGGAAATATATAAGTTTCTGATAGAACCCACATATCTGTCAGAATCTATAAACAAATGTACTTTATAATTTTGTAAATTTAAAAAAATGATTCATTTAAATATCATAGTACAATAATATTTGTATATAATTAAATAACTTACTAGGTTTGTATCAGTATCACTCAAATCAAAATTCACAAACAAACCAATATAATTTTCCCTTGCTAATGAACATGTTGTCTCAAAAAAAAATTATAACATAATATTGTTCATAGAAACATTAGAAACCCATAAATCGGAGACTTAAAGACTCAGATAAGTCAAATAGTCAAGCATACAATTTTTTTACTCACCAAATTTACTGTGTCTGTATGTTTTTGTTGACTTGGTGCAGGTCGTGGATCATTTGGATCTGAATCGACAATTGACTCTATACTTTTATTGAAATTTGAAAGTAGAGTATTATTTTTTCTTTTATTACTCGTGTTTGATTACTATATAAAGTAATAACTAAATAACTAATATAAGTCATAAAAATGTTATAGTTACCAACTTTATTGTTTAAAAACTATTATTTTTATTCACTGTCACGTATAGTCAGATGCTAGTTAGTTTGAATATATTGTAGACCATGTTTATAATCATGCAGTAGACGTTATAATTAAATCGTTTTCAATTTGACGTATTATTTGTATTCAGTGCGCACTAAGTATAATAATAACGTAAATTTCACCAAAATAGATTAATTGATGTAGTGTTTTATACTCGGTAATCGAAATGTTGCATTGACGTCTGACGGCACTGCTATTTTTGTAAATGTAGGTAGAATTATGAACTATGTTTCTTCACGAATTCATGATAGGTTCAATAAATTATCAATTATCCCGTGAATTTCTTTTTTTTTTAGATTTCAGATTAATAAATAGAATGTACTATGTATACGCGGTGAACTAAATCCGTAACGATAATGATCTCATTCTCTTTTCTCATAACAACGATAGTATCCGATAATATTTTAAACACGGACATTTAGTGGAAGCCCATTAGCCCAGGTAACATACATATTGTTAAATATATAGTATTGTCTCTATAAATTATAAGATAAGCTATAATAAAGTATAATCATAGTCGTCATTGGCATTTCGACCAAAATACCAAATAAACATTACTTTGTTATAAATAAACGAAAATAAAATTATAATGGTTTTCAGTATTGACTAAATTGTCAAAATTCAATAACTGGATAGATTCATATCATAAAATATTTTTTTATAGTGCATACTATATAATATAAGGAAAAACAAAAAATAATTAAATAATAAATAGCTAATGGGGAGGGGGATTTTACCCCCACGTCCTCCCCTTGGATACGCCACTGATATTAACATGATAAGGATATACAAAAAAAAAAAAGTAAGCATTAAGCAAAAACACTCAAATATTAAATTCAATGATTATATTACCTTTAAATACGTCTGTATAAAATTCTAGGCCCCAAGCTTTGAACATATCTGACACATCATCATCAGCCATTTCTTATGCAAGATTCTGGTATTTTATTAGTTATAAATAATACGTATGTATGCAACACATGTGGGTATAAGCAGTGCTCGACTTGGCAAAATTAAAGAAGGGGGACTCTATTTACTTTAAAAAAAAGAACGTCCCAAAAACTGGCGGACCGTTATGATTATAGCGTTATAATAGTAAGGGGATGCTAAAATTTCTGAAAATTAGTTGGGGCACTTGGTCCCCTGCGTCCCCCCTCAAGTCAAGCATTGGGTATAAAGTAGGTATACAAAAAACAAAAACAGTTTAACAGAGCACTTGTATCGCATACGCATTTTAATAAATAGCTAAAATGGCGATCGTAAAGTGAGTAACACATGTCACAGATTTCGCTTACCAACTCGCGTATCACGCGGTCACACGGACGCGGGTTTCGATATTGTACTATCGTGAACTTACAAAAATAATCTGTCAAATCAGTCAAACGTTTGAGTATTATTCCAAACATAATGTCTATTCTTATCAAATTAAAACGTTACATCAAACATTAGCAGTGTAGATACTACTATCTACAAGTAGAAAAACTAATTACTGTTCAGCAAAATCAATCAAACGTTTAGCATTAAATATTATAAACAAATTGTTATCGATATTGACAATATCTTGTACAAATTGTATAGGTACATAGATTTAGTGTAATGTAGCATTGGAACTATTAAACGGTTTATTTAGAATTGTCGAAATGTTTGATTATTTCTTCTATTTTGTAGTCGTTACAATTCATGAGCTATCTTAATTATTAATTGTGTTACGTTATCAAAACAACAATTAACAATATTATTCCTGTCACTAATAAAACACAATTTTCTAATGTCAACTGAATTTATTGTTATAATTAGAATTTTATAGTTGTTACAACAATAAACTATTTTACAAGGCCGTTTTGTTAAAGACTATTCAGATATTTTTTTCCGTGAAAATAATTCATCTTATTAAAAATATTATCGAAAATGCAGTGATTTTTGCTTGCACTGTTACAAAAACCAAATTGTAACAATATTTATTACAAAATATAAGTACATCAACATACATATTCCATGATTTTGGTCGTAGCCGTGCTCGATCTACGCTCTATATTTTAAAGTATGGCTTTACTCTAGGGACGGACCCGGAGACAGGTGGTGATTGCTCGACCCGGGCAATTGTACCCCGTCGTTATGCTGACTTCCGTACCTAAAAATTTAATTTAATTTAATTTTTTTATTTATTGAGAAAACATTTGTATGTTCGAGTATGTTATAATATATATAAATTATCTACTGCACTTTAAACGGAATTATAGAAATACAAATACTATTAAAATTATGTAGGTAAATTTAATTTATAAAAACTGCTGGGCGCTTGAATTCCCCTTAAAATTTTTTTTTATTTGCGCCACCGAACACAATGTATGGAAATAATACATTTTTAAAAAACAATAATAATAATGAAATTGCTTAAACAATATAAAGTAATCAACAAAAAAAGAATCCGCTTTATTAATATCCTGGATAAAATATCAATGAATTCATATGTAGGTTACGTACATTCAAAAACTAAAGTCAGACATTGGGATGTATTTTTAATTTTCCATTGTAATGAAATAATTTATCCACTTAATAATAACAATAATTAAACAATTATTTAAAATAGAAAAACCCTCACCAAATAAGCAAATTAAGTATAGATGTTTGGCAGCTCACTACCCTCTGTACAAAATCTAGTCCTATTAACTTCACATAGTGTTCTCGCTGTGACTAGCGAAGTTACAAATTAGTGATTGTTTGCCTTCTCAGAGATGATTTACGGAGGCCAAACGCCAGGGTGATATTCAAAATGAGATGTTGAACCCAAACTTCTATAGGAAGTCACTTGCTGACTCCATATAGACTTCTCAGAGAAGTGACTTAGCTTCTTAATTACATTACATTTTAAATCAGTAGGATTTCACAATTAATACTTCTTTAAAAGTTCACACATTAACGTCATATCGAATTCTCATCAAAGTTATAATTAACTTCCATGATTTATCAAATATTGTTATAATTGACTTTAACATGGTCATCAAATTTTCATCCAACATACTACTAAACAGGCACATATATGGGAAGGTTTAGAGGTTCAAAACTTAAAATCCCCCGATATTGTAAGATATATATATATATATTAAATAAGCAAGTGGTACGTTAACGTATTATGTAAATATTGTATAATTAATAATTACTAAAAATTTACTATTTAAAAATATTTTAACTCCTACTTCCCACACACATACACACAAAAATAAATGATTCTAATTAAGGGTCTGCACTTAAAAGAAATTTCCTAGTATGTTTTATCTTTGGGAAGTTTTTACAATTAGATGTTTAGAAAATAATAGTTATAGGATAAAAATAATAAATATTTGTAAGCAATTAAATGCAATAAAAATCTTTATTTACAGTTATAATAAAAAGTTAATAAATACTTATTACAATAAAAATAATTAAACAATACATATAATTTTATGTTATATTTATAATATTATACCTAATATATAATTCCTAAATACAGACATATTAGGTATGATATATGTTATAAAATAAATGAAAAACCTTTAATGTAGAATATAACAAAAACCAACAGTGTTTAATACAATAAAAATAAAAGGAACAAAAGAAAGAATCGGTTTCTCATGGTAAAAATTGAAAATCTCGTAACAAAACTTAAGGATGAAGAATTATCAATAGAACTAATTTTGAAAGTTAATGTGATGAATTTTACGTACTTTGTTACATCTATTTAAAAAAAATGGAACAATTCAAATCAACATGAAACTAATTTAAAATCAATGTTATGGATAACATTATCCCCAAAGACAATAGTAAATTGGGAAAATGTCA